TAAACACGAAAAAAGTTTGACTGGAAATTTTATTTTAATATTTATAATAAATTAAATGATATTTTTATCAATAAAATATCCGATGACTTTGATAAGTAAATTTCTTATTCTTTCTTTTCCATAAATTTTTCTACGATATTCCGTTCTGTCACCTTTCATTAATTCTTCCGGATCTACGACATCTTCTTTGGGCATCATCATGAAGGGTACGAAAGTACAAAAAACAACAAAACCCCAAAATAATTTACTCTCGAAATTTTTCTTTAATTCTTCGAACGGATAAATCATTTCTGGATCCCTATTAAATTTTTTTAAAGTTCCAGAAAATATTTTGTAATAGTTTTCCAGGAGTACGTCGATCATTTCCAATTTATTATCGTGTAAAACACTCGTAAATATAAAATAAACCAAATCCATGGCTGGAGAATGAATCGACATTATTTGAAAATCCACGAATTTCATACCGGAGAGTTTACCATCAGTGCCGTATCTAAACATGAAATTATTTAACCAGGAATCTCCATGAATGAGAACTTTTAAATTTTTTTCATCTCTTTCCCACACGTTTATGATTCCCTTAATAATTTCAACTTTTGATAGTTTATCAACGTAAATAGATTTCTTATCGAAATCGTCCCAACTTTTCATATCTTCAGTTAAAAAGTTGATGTTTTCTTCGAACATTATTTTAAACATTTCCTCATTATCGGATTTCCAAAACGGTTTATTTAAATTTTTAAACATTTCCGGTTTTTCTTGAAGTAAAACAAACGACGTACCGTGTAATTTAGCCAGGGATTCAATCACGAGCGAGGAATGTTCGTAGTCCAAACCTTGGAATCTATTCCCTAAAACGAAACCGGATAATTTTAAATCTTCCATCACGATAACATTTTTCGGATGACCTTGATAATAATAACAATCCGCCCATAATTTCGGTTGTTCCGGATAAACTTTCGTCATAATTTTATAAACTTCCGGTAGGATGACAGTTAATGATTCTCCTTCGATGTCAAAAAATGAAGTTTTAACCAACATTTCACCAAAATATCCCTTCGGTACGACTTTTATTATTATCGAGGATTCTTTTTCCGTTTTTCTATCGTCGGTGGAATACGTGTAATTAACGCGAAACATTTGACTTCCGTAATGGTCACCGACAGCGGCCGCCATTGTCATTTTCATATTTTTTATTTTAAACGATTCGCAATCCAAACCTTCTCTCAATGAATTTTCTATAAAATCTTGCGTCAGCCATTCTGGAGGTTCTTCATCTCTTTGAGGACGAGACATAATTTTCGAAAAAAAAAATAATAATAATATTTACACCCGTTAAAAAAAAAAAATTATTTAATAAACTTCGACCTCGTCACAACAACCAACAAACAACAACTGATTACGAAAATAAATAGTTGTTAGCAATAAACTTGTATGAATGAGTATTATAGCGCTTTTATAAACAAAACGGAAAATTTTAAAAACAATTTTCTAGGTCAAATAATGATGACCTCGTTCAATTATTATAGAAAAAAAAAAATTTAAATTATTGGATCTTCAAACGATTTATTGAGAATGTTCGTTGCCACCATGAGAAAAAAAAAAAAAAATTTCCCCGTCGTCGTCGTATTAGAAAGTAATAAATCTTAATTAACGAAATAAAAAAATTTCGAATATGTTTTTATAGTTACGAAATCAGGAGCGGAAAAAGGAATGGGAGGTTTTACGTATTATTATTAACTAGTAAAGACTTTTCTTTATCAATACTTTTCTTACGTAAGACAAAAACCATTTTCTTATCGATAAGAGGGGGCGGGGGGTATGTGTATCATTTGAAAACGGGATGAAAACTATTAAAAATTTTAAATTCGTTATTGTATTCACGTAATTTTTATTATTATTATTATTATTAATCGCGTTAATTAATTAATTAATTAATTGTTAATAAATAAAAATGAATTAATGAAGATTAAATAAAATTATTAATTACTTAACACTTTTTTTTACTCCCATTTTTGTGAAATAATTTTTAAATGTTACAAAATGAACTTGTTACGGGTAATAAAAATCAAAGCATAACGTTTTTGTTTTTATTCATATAAATAACCTTCCCCTCCTTCCCCATTTCTCCTCCCCTTCCCCCTTTCCCGTCACAATAACAACAACAACAACAACAACAATAATAATAATAATAATAAACTTTATGAATTCGTGAAAGAAATATTATTAAAGTTTTCTCTCTCTCTCTCTTTTTCTTCTACGGGAAAATAAAATAAAAAAAAAAACCAAAACAAAAAAAACTTTATTTCGCATCCTCTTCTCTCCCTTCCCCCGTTTTCTCCCCCTTTCTTCCCCTCCTCATAACAAACGAACCGAATTTTACAGTAACGTAATATATAAATTTTTTCTTTCTTACATAGTTTCTTTTCTCTCTCTCTCTCTCTCTTTCTTTAACCGTTCACCAAACGCGAAAATTCGATTATTATTATTATTATTTTTGTTGTTTTTTTCTATTCCCACGTGCTAAAAAATTTTTCGATTCGCGGAAGAAAAAAGAAAAATTTGTTTTTGTTTGTTTCGAAACAAATTTTTTTTTTTTTTTTTCGTCACGGCCAAAATTTCTTATCGAATTTTTTTTTTGAATAGTTTTCCGAACGGAGCGAAAACAATGATGATGATAATAATAATAATAATAATAATAATAATAATAATATAAAATAAATAAATAAATAAAAGAATTTTTTTTTTTTGGCATCATTTTTTTTTTATGAAAGGCACGGCACGATGCCAGGGTGGTTTTTGCGAATTCTAACTTATTTATGTATATATAAAAAAAAAACACAATGTATATAACGGAACGTCGATATATCATCATTATTATTATTATTATTATTAAAATGACGTGTAAGAGTAAAAAAAAAGAATTTGGCACGAGAGACAAAAAATAAAAAAAAATTTCATTGTTTATTATCATTATTATCTTCATCATCGTCGTCATTTTTTTTGGTTTTAATTATCTCGTTTTTTTTTACGTTTTTCATTTTTTTCTTTTGTTTGTTTGTTTGTTTGTTTGCTTGTTTGTCTGTTTCTACCGTTTGTTACTACCTCGCGCATGTTTAAAACAAAAAAACAAAAATAACAAAAACAAACAGGAGACACTCTGGAAAATTTTTTTTTCTTTTTTTTTTGTTTTTGTTTTTTCCTCATCGATTTTTATCATCGAATACGTTAATAATGATAATAATAATAATAATAATAATAATAATAATAATAATAATAATAATAATAATAATAATAATAATAATGATGCCTAATATAAGAAAAGCTTTAAAAGCTTTTGTTTGGAAGAAAAAAACAATATTCATTAAATTTGATATTTTACGAAAAGTGTTTGTTTGTTTTTTAATATTTAAACAAAAGAAAATTTTCTTCTCCAGTTTTTTAATGTTTTGGACAAACTAATTTCAACCGAAAAAAATCGAAATGTTTAAATAATAATGATAATAATAAAAACACACTCGTCGGATTTTTTTTTACAGATTGAACGAGGGGAGAGGGGTGGAAGTAGGGAAGGGAAAGAGAGAAGCATAATGGAAGGAAATTAACCATACGACAAATTTAAAAAAAAAAACAAGAGAAAAAAGCAGAAGAAAAAAAAAAGGCGGGGGGTATGCGGGGGGAGGGAAAAACAATTAAAAGGAAAAAACATTTGTTTTTTTTTGTTTTTCCAGGGGAAATTTATCTTAATCAAAAGGATTTTTTAATTTTTTTTTTTTTTTGTCGGGGTAAAGTACGAGTGATAAAGTAACAAAAAAAAAAAAAGACTCAAAAGTGATATGCGTTGTGTAATGGAATGAAGAGAGACAGAGAGAGAGGAAATGATAATAAGATAAATAAAGAATGAAAAAGAGAGAGAGAGAGAAAAATAGTATAATGGAAAAAAAAAAAAAATAAGAGAGAAAATTTATTATTGTTATTTCCGTGCAAGTTTCAACCTTTTGCAATTCATTTCCTTTAACTTTTTCTTCTGCTTCTTATTCTTCTTCTTATTTTTTTTAAAGAAAACCTGATTTTTCTTTTCATTTTCCATTTTTTTTTTAAACATCATTATTATCATCATTGCGAGAAATTTTTATAATAATAATAAAAAAAAATTATAAATAAAACTTAATCAAAAATTTTTATATCTACTTTTATTATTTTTTTTCTTGTAATCATAAAAAAATGTTTTTTTTAAAAAAAAAGCGCGGGAAAAAATAAAAGTTTAAAGTCCGGAAACAAAAACGAGAAAATTATTAACAAAGCAACAATGCTCACGAGGAAAATAATAATAATATTAAGAAAGGAAGATGGCGAGTGTGCAACGGTTGACATGCTCCTACGTTATGTCGATTTATTTTATTAATTTTAATAATAGTTTTATTTAAAAATTTAGTTATAAGTTATATATACTAAAAGTTTTGTCATTTAGTCTAGTTTATTGTGATGTAATTAGTTTTTTCGAAACATTTAATAATAACTATATTATTTTAAGTTTAAATTTACCAAATAGTCGTCGGTTTGTTTTTTTGACAAAAGAAAACGTCGGCGATAAGAACTTTAGAAGATGGGTTAACACATATGATCAGTACAGATAAGTACTTCATTTTATAAGTTGAATTTTATTTGCAAAAACGTTAGGCTCACAAATAAATAGAGGAAATACCCTATAAATAATCTTTTTCTTAAATTAGTTTGTTTATCATATGTTTAGTGTAAGATTTTCTTTTAATTTCAATTAAGATTAGAAGAATTCTGAACTGCCTTCAGATTATTTAGGTTTACAAGGATAGATTTGTATACTGTGCCTACATTAAGGATGGAATGCATGAGGGAAAATTATGAAAAAGGAAAATAGTAGGAAAATTAAGTATTGAAATAGTTCTGAAGAAAAAGTTATATGATGACTGATTCATAATTGTAAAAGAGCAAAATGAGAACAAGATAAAGACAGAAGAACCAAAATGCAAATTTTGTTTTACTGTCAACCTTTGTCAGGTCTACAAGGAACCTCACTTCTCCTGTTCTTGGACACTACACAAATGTCAGCCACTAGAGCAAAATACAGCAAATAATTCTTTTCCATCGAATAAGATGGTCTCAGTAAGACATACAAGAATTGTTGTGATGTCATAGATGAACTAAACCTATTAACAAATGCAGCATCACTAATATTCCTTAGGGATCGACGGATAAAAACCTGGAATAAATTTTGTAAAAGCTCCGTCAGACATTCAGACGAATCGTCGTAATTACGAATGAAAATAATAATAATTTGTCGAGTCGGTAAAAAATAAAAAGAAAAAAAACTTTAAAAAAATGGCGCCAAAATAAATTAAAAAAAAAAAAAAAAGATTTCTTCGAGTTTAAAATTTAAATTTGAAATTATTATTATTATTATTATTAATATTTTTTAAATGAAAAACTTAAAATTTTTTTGATTTAACACAAAACATTAAAAAGTTATGAAAAAAAAAAAATAAGAAAAAAAACTTTTTGCAAATTAAGAAGAAAATTGTAATTAAATTTACATCATTTTATTTCACCGTCTTCTGCTCCTCTTAAATAATAATAATAATAATAATAATAATAATAATAAATATAAAAAAAGAGGTTTTTTTTTTGAAACGAAAAACTTTCCACTTACGTTACCACATTTTTGTAAGGGAACAAAAAAATTCGGGATGAAAGGAGAGAAGGGGAGAGAGAGACGGGGGAAAGGGAGGGAAAAGGAAAAAAAGTTTAAAGAAAAGAATTAGATTAGAAGTGTAAAAGAATAGGAAGAAAAAGAAGAAGAAGAAGGAAAAAGAATAAGAAAAGTAAGTAATAGAATAAAAAAATAAAATAAAATAAAAAAATAAAACCGGAGTAAAGTAGGAGGCAAACGTTTTATAACATTTTTACAACGTGGAAAATTCCAGAAAACGCCTGCTGCCACACTGATTTTCTTTTGTTTGCCAAAAGTGCCTCCT